ATAATAGGAGAATGAGAAAAGTTAGAGAGTGTAGTGAAAAAGTTGTGGAAGAACGTTGGGTTGCTGGCGTTTGGGCTGTAAATATTCCCAGTTGTTATGGGTCTGTTATTTGTGATATGTATGATTATGAAGCGTCCTTTGGGATCAGCCGTAGAGGAGTTGAGTGTGTGGATTTCGTCCATGTGCTCTGTCTCCCCCCTACATGCTGCTTAAAGTTTACCAAATTGCCCATAGGTGTGCATGTGTGAGTGAATGGTGTGTACGTGTGCCCTGTGATGGGTTGGGGCTTCGTCCTGGGTTGCTCCCTGCCTCGTGCCCGTAGTGATTAGGATAAGCAGTTTACAGAAAATGTACTGATGGTTTTCAACATGGACCCCTGGTCTCCTCCCCACCAAAGTGGATATAAATAAAACTGGAGTATTATTTTTTAACTGAACAGGATTTATCTGTAATCAGTAACTTCCATCAGTTTTCACTACTCCAGTTACAGCAATATTCTTCATGAGTTTAACACGGTCTGATGACTGGCTAACAGTTCAGCCGATGATCAGTTCAGTATATTCATTTAACAGTGCTTTAATTTTAGATTAACCACTTTTCAGAGTAAAAATATTGAAGGTTTTCCTTTAAATTACTTTCAACCATCCATTGGGCTAATTATCATAAACACCTTGGAGAATTCATACATATTACACTGGCACAGAAATCAGCACTGTTTCAGGCTTCCTGCCAATAGTTTGTGAAGTTACCGCAGAACAATGATAAAGGTATTCTCCTGCTAGAAAAATGTGTTTTTAGCATGGATGTTTTACTGAAGCAATTCAGTTTTAAACATTAAAATGCAATCAAAGTATGGCAGACATTTATAAATAACTAAGAATCTAGATGACAAAAAAACACTGTTGTTCTCCTTTGTACAGACTGACTCCTCTACCTCCCTTTCACATCACTCTCGTTCTTCATGGTTGCTGTAGCTGTCCATCAGGAAAATACAAAGCTGCCAATGTGAATGTGTCCACTCCTCCTGGAGTGGTTACCATCATAAGGCACATACCCGATCAAGGCGTGTCGATTAGCCACTCTGGCTTAAGACATGAAAATTTGCAAATTGAATACACACAGAACTCAGGACCCTGGAAGTATAAAGCAATAGCACTGAGCTATACTTATTCATTTATAAATCAATCATACTTCCCCTTTGTAGGCCTGTCTGTACTTTTTTCCCCTGAAGTAATAATGCATATACAACTTTCTGTCTTTGCGATGAGGCTGGGGAACAGCTTGGTTCCTGTATGCCAGTGGAAAAGCACCATTTCAAAGAGCGTGAAGAACTTTTTGCAAGTGATTTTCTAAAGCTATTTGGGAATATTGTGCATTTGGACTGAGTTCGTTAGACAAGCATGTGAGAATCCTTGACATTTCAGTCTCTTCACAGAGCCTCAACTGAGAAATAATACCTAGTCATACTAGGGACTTCTCATCAGTCCTCATTAACTTCTGGTGGCAAAGGTCAAGCAGTGGTTTTGAAGACTATAATTACTGCTTTGAGGAGATGTTCACCACAATAGAAACAGTGGGACATATAGTTTGCATAAATACCCTTACAACATTCAGAATGTTTATGCTGTCATGATGAGCAGTTTATTTGCAGTATCTGGCTCTTTACTGTTCAGTTAAGGTACTGAAGCCTTATTCTTTTCCACATCACTATTTACACTGTACAGTCATGCAATCATGCTCACATCACCACTGTCATTATTAGAAATTCTTTGTACATCATGTAAAACCTTTGAATTTATATTGAAAACAATTTACCTTTGAATACATAGTGCCAATCAAAATTAGAGAATGAGACATTTTTCTAGTATACAAAGTCACAACTTATCCGAATTCAAAGTTATCTTTTCTAGAAAAGATATATTTTAATCATATTACATCAGCAATGTTATTAGTTTGAGAAGCTGGTGTCCTGCTTCTCTAGAACTGCTATTGGATCTTTGCATCAGTGAGCAATCTTGATATGAACTTGGCAATGCTTCAGCCTCATCATAATTGTATCTCGCCATTTTTTCAACTAAGCCAACACATGTAGTTTTAAAGTCAAAGCTACAATTCCATCACCCAAAGCAGGAAGTGAAAGACTACTTATCCTAGAATTACATGAATCCAGTTTACTATACTGGAGGATCTCAATTGTACAGTGAAAATACACTGCTCAAGAAAAAAAAAATCAAAGGAACACTTTTTAGTCAGAGAATAGAATCAAGTCAATTAAACATCAGGGATATTGATCTGGTTAGTTAAGTAGCAGAGGGGGTTATTAATCAGTTTCAGCTGCTTTGGTGTTAATGAAGTGAATGAAGTGCCATTGCTAGAAGGTTTGTTGTGTCTCCCAGCACAGCCTCAAGGGCATGGAGGAGATTCAAGGAGACAGGCAGTTACTATAGGAGAGCTGGACAGGACCATAGAAGGTCCTTAACACAAACAAAATGACCTCCAGGTGGCTACTGATGTGAATGTCTCTGACCAAACAATCAGAAACAGACTTAATGAGGGTGGCCTGAGGGCCCGACATCCTCTAGTGGGCCCTGTGCTCACTGCCTGGCACCGCGGAGCTTGATCGGCATTTGCCATAGAATACCAGAATTAGCAGGTCAGCCACTGGTGCCCTGTGCATTTCACAGATGAGAGCAGGTTCACCCTGAGCACATGTGACAGACATGAAAGGGTTATGTTGCCTGTATCATTGTTCAGCATGACCGGTTTGGTGGTGGGTCAGTGATGGTCTGGGGAGGCATATCCATGGATGGATGCACAGACCTCTACAGGCTAGACAACGACACCTTGACTGCCATTAGGTATCGAGATGAAATCCTTGGACTTACTTTCAGACCCAGTCGGCCTTATGTGGCAAGATATCCAGCATTATTTTTTTTTTCCCCTATTGAGATCTGATGTGTTCCTTTAATTTTTTTTGAACAGTGTATATATGCCCTGTGCTAGACTGGCATTTCATCTAGGGTGTACCCTCACAAGGCCTGAAATCTGACAATCCAAGCCAGGGCTGAGCAATATGACCTCAGACCAATATTACGATTAATTGAACATTTTACCACGATTACGATTAATGGATTATCTTGTTTTTTTGCCCTCATATTTCACTGCTAAGGTTTATACTGCAAATATGCTCAACTATTAAAGCTGGGATATTTTTTTCTAAAAGACTTTAAAGTCTTAATGATTTTAAAATTGAAAGAAACACACGGATGAACTATTTATGGTGATTGAATATTTCAACTGAAATCGAAGCACAATTGGCATGAAATGAAAATGTCATGAAAAAGGTCACATTTTACTTTTAATGTAAAAAGCAAGTTCCATAAAAAAGTAGAAAATAGTTTGCATTTCTTGCAAAGAACAAAATCCGTTTATAGTGATCACGTCTGGGTGAAATTGATCACTATAAGCGGATGATCATAACATTTCTTTTGTCTCAAGCAGATAACTATCTAATTGATATCTGTATATTAATTTCGCTAATGTAAGGTAATAAAATGTACAGTAATGCTATTTACTGGATTCTACTGACTTCAAATTGCATTACAGTACTGCACAATTCAAATGCACTATAATACATTACTGTACATGAAATATAGCTTATTGTAGAATCACTGCTGCATTTCAGTGGCTCCTTTTCAGCAGTTTATCATAAGCTTTGAGCCTATATTTGTCACTGAGAGAAAATTACTTTTTTTCCCGTCATGTTTTCTGTGCATGCAGCATTAGCTAGTCAGAAGCAGATTGGTTATTGCAAGTATGCAAGAAATAATTTTTTCCATGTTATGCATAAAAAGACCCAAAATGAACATTGTAAGTGGAATACTTGATTACTACAAGTTATTTAAACAGTATATATTTGTACAGGAATTCTTCTATCCCAAGCTTTTCGATCCGTATAAGCAGTTGATCATTATAACAGGGCTGCCAACATTCATGCATCTGGCATGACACGCCTTGACTCACACCCACACAAGAAATCTTATGGCAAATCTACTTTATTCCATTATAAACCTAAAATTATCTACACGTAAAATGTACAGAATATTTACAAGGTAATAAATCGGTAACGTGTAATACATGTAAATGCATGTGCACATGTCTCAAAATGAAAATCTCACGGCAAGCCAGCTGACCAAGTTCCCCTTCATGTTGCTTCCCCGTGGCAGACTGGACGGGGCGGAGTCACGTGACAACACACGCAGTAGTATGTTTTAAAGGGGAGAGTACATGGACACACACTGGGGAAAGTGTTAGATTTTTTTTTTTAAGTATTAACAATTATAAAAAAAAGTAACTTACATGGGCAAGAATATGTCTATTAGAGGTGCTGAAAGTCTGTTTTAATTTCTGATTAATTGCCCAGCCCTAATACTGTACAAGCTTAATATAACCCTGTTCCACACAGGCTTAGAAACATCCTTTATTTATGATAATCTGGTTAACAAAAGTAAAATTTAACTGATCTCAACTGAACACAAATCATTAAGAAATGTATAAAACATGAAATCACAAGGACGGGGGCTTGGAAAACCATCTATAGCAGGACTTGGCAATTAGTTTCAACCATAGGCCAGTTTGTTCAAGTGCTCAATAAGGGGCCAATATCGTTTTACTGGCGCATAAAATTGCTGCTATACATTTTAAATGTTTTATTTGAATATTTTAAGGACTTGTTTTATGAATTTAGAAAATAAGACCAAATTCTCTTTTGGGAGAGCAAGTTTTCTACGTGGGCTGGATGTGGCCCACGGGCCACCAATTGCTGACCTCCAGTCTGGAGTCCTGGGTAGCTTGTGTGGTAATTAGCACAGGGAGTTGAATCAGGTGAGTTAAATGAGTGGAAACCCCAAAATGGGCAGGGCTCCAGTCCCCCAGCACTGGGGTTTGACACCCCTAGTCTATAGGATGGAGGGGGTGGGGGAAAAACACAAACTGCCAAGTTAAATTGAAATCAATTTTTAATTGGTTCTTTACAAAATCAAAATTTGATTACAAAAGTTAGAAAAACATGGTGGTCTTCAAATAAACATTGTCACACTGACTCCAGAGCTCATAGAGCTTAAAACAGAAGTACATTTCTCAAAAGACCTTTTGGTGTTTGAACCTTACATTGACACTACCAGCAAAGGCAGGGAGAATTTATAACAGATGACCAAAAGAAGGTGAACTGGAAATATAATCCCTTTATTATGCATGTAGAAATGTCACGTTTACTATTTCATGGATGTTATGGAAATCTCGTATTTCAAACACTTTTGCAAAGGTTATAAATTCCATATAATTACAGCCAAGTGAAGACCTTCCTCAAAAAAAACAAAAACAACATGAAGTAGCTAAATGAGTGCCACAATTTATAACTGGGACAAGGAAGCCATTTGGGCAGATTAAGCTTCCAATTTTGTAGCACAGGGAGAAACAGGTCTCAACTGTGGTTTAATCAGTAGGCACTAAAACAACATAGCAGTAAGCTGGATCACCGACGACTAGGAACTAATAGCTGAGTAGCTGTCACAGAATCCGGGAAGAGGTTGTGGTAGGTTGGGAGGGGCACATAGGCGGCTGTAATCATTTTACCTAGAAAAAGGAAAAAGGTTTTGCATTTCCCCTCTCTGTATAAAATACCAGAATCAAAAACATACACACAATCATACCTGCAAAGAGCCTCCCATGCAATGCATTCACGGCAGCCATGGCGATGGGAATTGTTGGACATTTCACATACACGTTACCCTGAAGCAGGAGGGAGAGAAAAAAATAGAATTTAGCTAAAAATTGGCAACACTTAATAAACCACATCTAACACATTAAAACTGTACAATAATCAATACAAGGGAATTAATGTACATTGATGAGATTTTAATTTCAAGCAAACTATATGGAAAAAGCACCATCTCACAAAGAGCATTCTTACTTGAGGTGAATTTTTGTCAACATATACATGAACAATCCCCCCATGTTTAGTGCATTCTTCAATGACATCATCCTTAATGTCAACATCCCAGCCTGGATCATCTTCACTGCAAAAAACATTTAATCATGAGTGACAAGTGGGTAAGAAAACTGACAACCACACCACATTTCAGCAAACTAAAAAGCACATTTAAATTCTTTTTTAAAATGGTACTTCTATCAGTATTTAAAAAACTATAAATGATTTTTGTGTAAATACACATTTAGCTGTGTCACAGTAGTGTCAAAACTGAGGAACACGTCTAGATAAGTGGGGAGAGTAAAAATGTTGGCTAGCATGACTGAGGCAACATGTAAGAACCAGGTAGCTATTGTGTTATACGTGACCGAAGGTACCAATGAACAAAAAGGTAGCTTTTGGGTAACAACCTGAAAGTAAGGCCAGCTCAAGCTTTTCATTACTGGAGAGATTTGATTCCATTTTCGAAAGGCATTAATTAATCAAAGCTAAGCCTCCAGAACTGTCTATTCAAAAATATGTGATTCACAAACAGTGCAAGCTTTTCCCAAATCATTTCAACATGCATTTAGAGAAGGGAAAAAATTACATCAATTCTTGGGAAGAATTAGTGCTGAGTGGTAACCGTTTTAAATCATCATATGGTATGAATTGATCCATACATCGCCATACCATAGCATATCTGAAATGACAGCTGTAACGCTTCAATAGGCAGCAAATTATATAATATTGTTCACTGTGGGTTGCTGTGCAGAGTGCATTGAGCATGCATTGACCCCTGTTAACTGTGCATACCCTTCTTACTGACGGTTACAACTTCATAGTTCTCCAAATACAACTGTTCAGCTTTATAGTCTGTGCCTTTGGATTGAGTGCAATAGGTAGATCTGCAATTTCTGTAACCACTTATCCTTTTCAGAGTTGCGGGGGGTCGGAAGCCTATGGGTGCAAGGCAGGGAACAACCCTGGATGGGGCACCAACCCATCATAAGGCACATGTGCACACACACATATACACACACGCACCATTCACTCATGCATGCACATTTACGGGCAACTTGGTAACACATGCTTTTGAAATCGTTCTCTAGATGTGCAATGTAACAAACTGTCATCCTGTCCAAGGTGAACTCCTACCTCGTGCTCTATGGAGCCATGGTCACTGAACCCTGCACAGGACAAGTGCTTAAAGGATGGATAGAACACTATGGTCCTGTTTTATTGTACCGACTACCTGCACAACTCCATAAATGTAATTTCCAAAGGCTTCATTTCCATGTAAAAACATTTCAAAACTATAAACACCTTCATATTTAGACATATGATGCATTGGCTGCCAGTGTGTTTACACAATTCAGACTTTTTTTTTTTTTAAATTAAAACAAGGTAATAAAGGTTTAACACTTACGACTGAGGATTGAACATATTGGAAAGCTGGAAGGTCTGTGTGGCAATAGGCTGTGTAGGGAGATTCATGGCGGTGTTCATATTCAAATTCAAGTTCAAAGCAGGGGTGATAGCTGATGAGAAAAACAGGTGAAGTGACAAAAATGGCAGATTTTTGAATCACTGACTCCTTTTGCAGAACCTGTAGCACTGAATTTATTAACCAAATAAAGCTATTTCGCAAAACCGAAAACAACTTCCTGAAGTGGTAACAAGCAAGCTATTTATCCACCAGTTTTATATACACTAAAAAAGTACCTGTCAAATATAAATTGGCATTACTGGCAAACCTGAATATTAAGATAAACCCAATACTTCGATAATGTTCAGAAAAGTTTTAGCCACACCCACTAAACAAAATGCTTCCTGTAGTTAATAAGCTCACAGTCCCATGGAGGAACTGGATCCCTAAAGAGCTGCAACATCAAGTGCTTAGGTCTCTGACAAGGCCAGCCCAAAATTATTCACTTTCTCTATGCTGCTAACCGACTGTCTAATAAAATGCATTTTTGAAATGCAGATTTGCTTCTTAAACTGTCATGATAGTTTTTCTAGTGGAGATTTAGGATAAGGCCCAATAGCTTCGACATCAAGGTGAGTTCATATTTATACTCATGATTCAAATACAAAAAGATGCTCAGAAGCAAAAGTTACAACTAACAAAGGGGACAGAGCTTTACGATATCCTGAATCATATAAACTCCACATAACTCTTACCAGAAACAGCAGCCATGGCCCCAAATGGGAGGGATCCACTCATCTGCAATGCCTGTTGGGCAGCTGGTGGGATCTGCAACCCAGTACCTAGACAGTCACAAAGAACAAGTTTATGCTAGAAATCTGGGGTAGTTGCTCATAGGGGTGGGTGGTAAGCAATTTATCGTGACAATTGGAATTCTGTGCGCAATAAATATTTGAGTTATCGCATGATAAAGCTATACATTTACTTTTATTTAGCAGATGCCTGTGTCCAAAGCGGGGTGCAAGTGAGGCAAATAACATTACATACATGCTATCGAGGAGTGCGAAGAAGTTGAGCATCCAATGAATACCCAGTTATAAAAGCACACTAAACACGTCAATGACAGAAAAACCCTGCATGTTTGTAGGCTGTGACAGCACTACAACAAACACAGACTGACGTGCAACAGCAACTTCAGCCTGCGTATTATGACAATCGCGTCATGTGTAGGCTACACTGTTGAATAAAATGTCTGGCATTGCTGACGAATTTGTTCCAACAAAGGTTTTACTTCGATTGTGTGGAAATAGTTTGGATTTGCAAAATTCAACAGAACAATATACCATAATGTGCAACTGCAAAGCTACTATTCGTGCTAGTGGCAACACAACCAATTTTAATTGTATTTGTTGTAAACAGTTCAGAAGAGCTGAAGTGATAAAATGTTCTTTTACACTCAAAACATGAAACGTTTGAATTAAAGTAAAAAGCACTTGTGCTATAGCGTGTCAATCGATTACTCTGCAATATGGTGGAAGGAAAATGGCGCATAGTGGATTAGAATCCAAATAAAGTGTGAATGCATGTGTGTGTAAGAACTTCACGTTAAAAGTGAATGCAAATGCAATTTGCCAGTATTGCAAAGAGAACTTTAATATCAGCAAAGCACGACTGCAATGCAAATACATTAAAAGACATTCAGGTTTGACAGATTCACCCAATAATTAGCCATAGATATGCGCCATTTAATCTTTCAGAGTAGCTTAGCTTTTTGTCATCACTTGGACTTAAATTATTTAAACTTACCTGTAGGTAAAAATAATTGCTGCTAAAGTGAACATTAGCCCAGATGTTTAGCTGCGTCATTTTAGATAATACAATTTTTTGTGAACATAGTATATAAGGGCTGAATGATACTGGAAAAAGTTCACATTGCGATATTTGAAGCTTTTGTGAATTAGAAGTTGGAAATGAACTATATCCTCAAATAGTCAAACTCTGGTGTTCTACGTTCTAAGTGGTGTCTTGCATTGTGCTAACAGACAAAGCAGAACTGAAATCAGTTGCTTCTGCTCAATACCGTTTCTCTACAAAATATCTCTATACAGTGAAAGACAAATGTCTTCATGACTAGTTCTTGTTAGCTTTTCCACTCTTCACTTATTTGTAATTTCTCAAAGTGTCACAGCATCTACGAGTCCAATAGCAAGGACATGAATAATCCTTGTGATGTGTAATCATAAGGATATGAAATGCCATGCATTAAAATTGCACATAGCGTAAGCTTGTCGAGCGGTTAAGTGGTGCAGCACTTCCTCTGCCTCTGTACTCTGCTGTTTTGCATTTGTGGAGTTTGCATGTCCACCCTATGAGTGCGTGCTTTTTCGGCGGATCCAATGGTTTCCTTCAAATGTCCAAAAACATGCAACTTAAGTGAATTGGAGTACCTACATTTTCTGGATGTAGCTCAGTGTACACCAATTGCAATGCTTAATATATAATATGTTGTTGTATAAATGATTACTCTATGAATCGGCAGATTAAAAGCGTCAGATTACTCGATTACTGATGTAAATCTACAGTGACGGCCCTAAGGGATATACAACTTTTGGGTAAGTGGCTAAATGGTTAATTACTACATACATTCCAATGAATGGTTTGCAAACGAGAAAAAAAAATCTGTCTAACATTGATTGTGATTTTATCCAAAAATATGACGTTCTGCTTATATCACCCATCCCTAGTTATTCAGTCCTACCGAAACTGACAATATATTGATGGTTGAGCATAATACACTAGTTGCTCGGCTAACACTTACTAGTCAACAAAAATCATTACCAATTTAAGCTGTGAACCAAACTGGAGAAACTGTTGCATGTAGATATTAAAAACAATGGTGCATTCTGCTTTAGTGTCCTACTGCAGGTTCTCCACTGCCACTTATAATACTAAACAGAGTTGCCAGCCTATGCAGCATATAGGGGATTGCACTGGCAAACAAGCCCTGTTTATATTCTCCGAGACAGGAATATGGGGCTGTTTATTCCCCTTTCTTCTATCACTGGGAAAACACACAGGTCCTTATTTCACCAAACCATGTGCTTTCAGGAAATGGGTCCCTCAAGCACACTACAGTCCCTATGTATTTGCTGCCATGGCAGACAAAGCTTCCTTAACATTCACCTCTCTGCACATATTATAATTAAACCCATAAAGTTCCTGACCAGTTTCCCACAAAAGTGCTATCACAAGTAAATTTTTCGCCAAGACCAGCAATTGTTTATGACAACTCTACAGTTAGTCTGGATTCCTGATAATAGGAAAAACAAATCCAGCCTTGTCCAGCACCAGACCATTAAAAAAGGAAAATCACTATATCTGTTAGTAGGCCAAAAAAGAAAATGCAAATAATCAATCCGAAACTACCTTCAGCAAGCCTGGCCATCAACTGCAAGCGGCCAGTAGTGCCAAGGTCAATGCCAGTCCTCTCCAGCTCATCACTATCCAAGAAGGAGCTTGCTGTCGATGCATCAGTGCGTTCGGTGACATGACCCACTTTCATCGGTCTGCCAGCCAGCTCAAACCCATTCAGCTGCTCTAGGGCCTTCTTAGCGCACTCAGCATCTGCAAACTGAAAGCAAGCACAAGCCATGTACACCAAAGGACTACAAGCACCCATTGCCATAAATTATTACCATTATCACCATCATCTTCAAAATTTCAACTCACTGTTATAAAGCCATATCCTTTTGATCTTCCAGTTTCAGTATCCATCATGAGTTGAATACTTTCAATCTGGTAAAGAGATTGACCAAAATGACAAACATGTTCAGTTTAATCCAGGGAAACAGACTTCAAAGCTCTGACTTCATATAATAGATATTTCCTTTCTTCAATAAAAACAGCTGCCAAGTATGAAAATGTTAGACAATACTGTGCTCGATTATGTGCATCTTATACAGTAATACAAAATGCTATGATTATAAATACCTAGCCATATATATTCATCCATCACTCCTTGGTGGAGAAGACGATACCGTAGGAAGCGCGGTTAACAGTTTAAAGGATCAATCCATTTAAATTGAGATAGAAGAATATAACTGTAGAAAAATATATTGAAGGCAAAACCAGTGTGGAGATGGGGGACTCCTTACCCTTCCAAAAGGCTCAAAGATTCCTCGTAGCATGTCCTCTGTGATATTGAAGTGCAAAGATCCCACATACAGCCTCATAGGTCCCGCACTGCCCTTCTGCAAGTTGTTAGCCATAGCAGCAGCCCTGTTCTTTTCAGCCTAGAAACATAAACACAAAACTTTAAAACAAAAACCTTTGCTTTGCTACCACACACCCCACACATAGAGTATGTATAAGTGTAACAAGCAGAGACTTTTTAAGCTGCTATCAAGGCATATTGTCCAGATTCCCCACAACAGAAAGCAGCTACCACAGAACAAGGAAACTCTGGGAAATTGTTGCAAAATAGTATTGCACACTACATTCAGCAAACCAATTCAAGCACTAATTACCATCCAAGCTTTTGTTCCATTTCTATTTATACAAGTAGAAGTCAAAATAATTAAATAATTAAAGATCCACAGTGTCACCTTGTGAAAATACAATAACAGCAGGCAATAGAACCCCTTTACTGAAGTGACTATACAGTGTACTACAAAAACATTGTATTACCTGTGAAGCCTGGACAATAATTGGCACCCCCAGAAGTCTTTGCCCAGTTAATCCAATTGCCAGTGGTACAGAATTCACTTGCACAAACTCAACATAAGCAATCCCCTTTGATCTTCTTGAGTTTCGATCAGAAATCATTCTCACATCTCGAACCTGTAGAGAAAATATTTAACTTGACTTCATGTAGTTAATGGAAATAAGACACACAAATCCAAATAAGCATTCCAAATATATTAAAGCAGCAACTGACCTTTCCCACTGCTGAAAAGAACTCCTCCAGATCCCGAGGGCGTATTCTGGCTGCCAGTTGCATGCAGAACACAGTGCGTGCATCTCTCTCTTCAGGGGTCAGGTTGTCAATTGGCTCCCTTTGAAATACAAGCATACAAAAATATAACATAACCAACTTGTGCCAAATCTTAGGAACTCTGAAGATTTTTAGTACTTTGTACTAAGGATTTTTGCAAGTCAAAACCCTAGGAACCTCTGTCACACTCACCTCACTGGACTCTTATCCTTCTTGAAAGGGCTGCTTCCTTTAGATCCCTTTCGACTGAAATGAAATCAGTGTTAGTTCCATACATTCCTCAGAATTCTTTATCATATCAAACAAGAAACCATCGACACAAACAGTAAGAAAACCAGATCATAAAATCCTTCGCTTGATGGAAAGGGGTGACAATCAATCCTCTGGAACCACTATTTTTCAGCCCAGAGCTGCGATTAAAAACAAGGTTCATTCCAAAGTCTACGACTAATAGCCACCTCCCTGAGGTTCCCTGAGAGTGTTTTTCGGTTTTGTCCAGTGGTGCCATAATGACCTATTAGCAACTAACAAGGGCAAAGGACAACATTCAGAACCACTTCAAAAGTAGAGGAGCTTATTCCTTAGAATGATGCTTCTTCCTTTGTGCAACTGCTATTACTACATGAAAAGTTTACAAGAGAAATATTTCCCCAATATAAAAAGGCTAGGAACATAATGAACTTTGCCATTTCCCTCATATCATATATCATATCCATGGCCTAATCCAGAGTAAACTGCAGAAGTAATGTAAGCATTTGCACAAGGAAGCAATTGGCTTATCCAAGACCGTCTAGCAAGCTTTCCATCAATAACTATTCGCTGTTGAGAAAACAATGGTACACTCATCTCAGCCTGAAAGCCAGGATATCTTGTTACAAGAACAGTGTAAAGTAGCAGAGTGACTGCTTGGTGCATGAGGTGTTAACCCACAGGGGTCACCGACATCGTTGGCAATGTCGCATATCTTTCTCGTGTACTTCAGTTCATAACTCGCTGAAATCTTATTGTAGAAAAATGGGGGAAAAAATGCTGACTAAATCCATAATTTGTCTTTTTCAAAATGTCCATTGTCGGAAGTATTAAAGTTTTTAAAATTAGGTTAAAATCGGCAAAAATTAAACCATGTCACCTTACTTTGTTTTACCTGCATCGGGGGCATGTAGTGCCACTGTCACCCGAAGATCGCTATTCGCATTCTAAATAGCTGCATTATCGCGTATTCAAATCGCATTCGCATGGTAATTTGATGAAACACGATCAAGATACATCCCCATCAGCACCATAAAAGAGGGGGAGGGATGTGGCCAAGTGTGAATGGCTTATGCATACACATGAAACTTGCTACATATTCAATGAAAGGAGGCCAGAAATAGTGACACAGTTAGGTTTTTCTTATTTATTTATCCAACTGAATGTTGCAATTACACCATTCAGTCATCTTCATGTACCCAAGACTTTGGCGATCAGATATCTGGGATCAAAACAAACTGGCACTATTGCTTACTATGTACAGTGGTACCTCAGTACATGAACTCATTAAAACTCAAAATTTCTTAAGCCGAACCAACCAGTTTGGGGAAAAAAATGACCTAGAATCTCAGACGTCGAACCAGGAACCAAAAAGTTAAGCAATAGTTGTACAAATGTTACAACCTAAAAATTAGTGATTTAGAAACAAATTAATGAATACAGAGTAATAATAAAAATAAACAATGTACTGCATGGAACAGTCTACTGTTGGCGCATGGCTAGGGGTACATTCATCATCATTTTGGGAACCATTAAGAAAAAAAAATGTCACGCATGGCGTTTTTCTTACTTTACAAATTACTGTTTTGATAAATGTGCTTAGATGTGTTTAGTATATACTCTTGTTTTATCCTGTTCATTTTGTGTTTAAATGCTTAAAAAAAAAACATTTAGGTGTATTTTTTGGGGTTGGAAACCAATTAATTGGTCATCCATTATTTCTTATGGGGAAAATTTGATCAGAACTCGAACTTTTTAGGATTCGAACCCGAGTTCTGAACGGATTAAGTTCGAGTTCTGAGGTACCACTGTACTTTTATAAGTGTTCCCCAAACTGCATTTTGCAATGTCTATGCTTTGATGTCAAATTACAAACTTATAAATGACATATTTACAAAGTACATTAAAATAAAGATGAGTGTAATGCGAAAACAAATATACAAGAAATAATTTGCCATGAATTAAGTGTGATCATACCCCAGTCAGTGAATGTGTGTTCCCTACCCCTAGACCCCAGAGGGTTAACTCAATTTTGGGAAACCAAAAAGCAGAAGCTGACACTATCAAGTATTCCAAGGGAAGGGCTGTGCGATGACGACATAAAAACGTCTATCATTTCACATTGTGCTCAATCGTTTGTCGTGGTGTCGCAAAATACATTGTTCATGGCAAGATTTTTTCATCATTTGGATCACAGATTGCAAATTTACACCACCACATGGGATGCAGCACTTGTTTGGAAGTTATTGGGACTTTATTATTTACAATCCGCAGAAGACAATCCACAAATATGTACCATGATCCACTAATATTAACTATCCACAAATATATATTTTAAAATTTGTGTTGTGTAAAATCATATCCACAAAAATACAGACTGATTTGTACAAGTGAAACATGTTTTGCACATTTGTGCATCACTTCCTATTTGCGGATTGTTACATTTGTGACTTCCCTCCTATTTGCGGATTTTTGTTCAGTTTGTACACCTATGTAGCCCCTAAATGATCAGGGTGGGAAAATATATATATTTAAATATATATATATATATATTTTTTTTTTAAATAGTTTTACATTCTCTTGCAAGAGTTTTGCAATCCCACTACACTTGCTGCAACGCGACCACAGGGACAAACCAGGGCTGTGGAGTCGGTAGATAAATGCTCCGACTCCGACGACTCAGTTTCTAAATCTTCCGACTCCGACTCC